ATTGAAATGTTCAGAAGTGAATTGGAACAAGTAGAATTGATTTAGGATTTCTCATTGTCGTCTTCTTTTATTTGTCTGCTAATTCATAATCATTTTTCTTACATTTTTCGAGGAGTACACGTCCCTAGTAGCCACCTTTCCTACTTGGGAAGAGGGAGGTGGGGAGTTCGAATCCCCATCTTCTCAAGGGGGTTAGGGGTGGGGACGTGTAGTTTCGTATGTGAGTTTTGTGACATTCCGAATTTTGATCCATTTTTGGGATTTATAAAACGTGTATTTCGTCGGTGCGCTTATAGTTAAATCTCGCCCAGAACTGATCACTTTCGGGTTATTTTTAAATTTAAGATTTCGCTAAAATCGCATTCGATCGAATTTGACCATTATTTAGAGCCCGAACTGTGGTGTCGAATTTCTCGGAGTTTCGTGATGAATTTAATTGGACGGTGTCGATATTATTGTGGCTAGTGTCGATATTGTCCAGAATTGGTGAAAAGTGAAATTTGAACTGGGTGCGGATTTTTGACTAGTAGACCTCCCTCTTAGTGTATTTTAGTTAGTGTTTTTGGCCTTTTTCCTAATTTATAAATTACGGTTTTTCGTGGACCGTCGGATCGACTTCGAGTTTGAATGTGGGCCGTTGGATCGCACTCATTGAGTTGACTCTCTCTCTCTCTCCTCTGCGCGCGTCCCCTCCCCCCTGCACACGTCCCACTCCTCCCCTCTGCCATGCAGACCTACTCTCTCTCCTCCTTTTTCTTCTTATTCTTTCTTCTTCCTTCTTCTTCCTTTCTTTGCCGCGGCTTCTGCTCCTTCCCTTCTTGGCTTGCCCGCCCACCGCCGTTCATCCCAGCTGCTGCTCGCCGGCCGTCCGCCTTGCGCAGCCCGCCGCCGTGCGTCTCGCTGCCCAGTAGCCGTTCGCCTGCCGCCGCGCGTCTCATTCACCCGTCGCTCGCCAGCTCGCCGCCCGCTTGCTCGCGGCTCGCCTGGCCGAGCTCGTCGCCACCACCGTCACTGTCGCCTAGCCACCGTTCGCCGTCACCGCGCCGCCTAGCTAGCCGACCAGCTCGCTCACTAGCCAGCCCGGCCGCTCGCTCACCAGCCAGCTAGGCCGCACGCCTGCTCGTTCGCCCATCGCCGTCGCCGCTTGCCAGCCGCCTGCCCAACTCGCCGTCGCCATCGGCCGCTCGCCCAACTCGCCGGCCGTGTTGCCTAGCTCGCCCAGGTCGTTGCCCGCTCGCCTGGACGCTGCCTCGGGCTGTGGCTGAGCCGTCCCAGCCGGTGCCCTTGCCCTGCCGTGCACCCTGCCCGTGCCCATCCGCTTACAGGTCGCTCGCCCGTCGCCTGGCCAAGTGCCCTACCCAAGCCGAGCGCCTCGCCTGTGGCCGAGGGTCGTGCCGAGGCCTTGCCCGTTGGTTGGCCGCTACGCCCTCGCTCGCGCCGAGCACGCCGCTGCCCCGACCGGCCATTTGGCCCCCTTGCCGGTTTTCCTTGGGCCAAAACCTAGGTAAGTGACCTCCTAATCCCTACTTAGTACTTTGAGTATTATTAGACTCGTTTAGGGGTTGATGAGGGTTGATTTAGTGACTAAGTTAGGTATTGATTAGTTAATTGAATATGACTGGTTTATAGATTATGTGGTGGTGATTTTTGTGGCTAAATTAGTGATTGATTGAGATGGGCTCAATGATCGGGTTGTCATGGCATTTGTAGGGGAAATAGATGCTTGAATGTGGCCGACTTGAAGGTTGGGTTGGTGGGCTAACGTGGAGAGCATAATTTAAATTTGAATAGTATGACATGTTAGATTGGTATTGGCGAATTGTGTGTGGCGTATGTGCATGAGGAATGTCCTGAGGCATGGTTACGCGGGACTAAGCCCGGATTGATCGGAGGGCTGCCAACCTGAGACGTGGTTACGCGAGTGTGGCTAGAAAGGCAAGAAATGACCTAAGACGTGGTTACGCGGGTCGAGAGATATGACCTGAGGCGTGGTTACGCTGGTCGAGAGAAATGTCCTGAGCCGTGGTTACGCGGGACTAAGCCCGGATTGATCGGAGGGCTGCCAACCCGAGGTGTGGTTACGCGGGTGTGGCTAGAAAGGCAAGAAATGACCTGAGGTGTGGTTACGCGGGTCGATAGAAATGTCCTGAGGCATGGTTACGAAGGATTGAGCCTGGATTGATCGGAGGGCTTGACCCGAGGGGTGTTGACGCGGGTCGTGGTTAGTCGGTTGGACATGCATGCGAAATGTGTTTAGTTGAATTAGGTGAATGTACGTGGTTGTGGCGCTTGAGTGTTTATGTTATGTTCTTGAGCTATTATTGCATTATTGTGATTTGACTAATGCGCGGAGTTGGCGTGTAATTTGAGACGAGGTAAGTGTGCATGAGAATTCTATTATGTCGATTACTAGATTGCATGTTGGGACTCATCTTGGTACGCATTGGCCTAGGTAGGGTTTAGGTTGTCTGCTTATTGAGATTTATTCTCATTGCTATAATGCAAACCATTTCAAATCCTCGACCTCGACCTTGATCATGCCGCCACCTCGGCGTTTTGGGGTCCCTATGCATACGGTGCATGAGGAGACCAGGTATCCAGTAGGTCCACATCAGACTTATATTAGGCACCTCACTACGGTCTAGGTAAACGTAGGTCTAGACGACTTGCAGCGTCACACTTACTTGGCCTAGTTTTATCGTGACGGGTTAGAGTTAGTTGGCCCAATTCGGGGTTTTGAGGGATAGCAGCACGGCAACAAGGATGCCGTGGATTGGGAGCCCGGGGACATGTATGCTCCTAATGGTGAGATTTTGGACTCCGAAGATCACCCGGAGAACCGTGGTCTCGAACCCGAGCCCGTACCAGAACCTGTAGCACTTGCGGATCTCGAGTTCGAAGAGGAATTTGAGGAGTCCGAACCTGAAGAAGAGCCCGAGCCTGTGCCGGAGCCCATGGAGTCCGCGCCCGAGAAGGAGTCGGGTGACGAGGAAGAACCGATCGAGATCAACTCTGATACGGAGTTGGAGTCTTCAGGGTCTGATTCAGATTGAGCGCCGTAGGAGTGTTTGGGTACTGGGCCTAGAAGCTTTTGGTAGAGCCCCTTTGGTGTAACCAGCTAGTCTATCTTATCACCTGTCCCTTTTTGATGATAATGGTGGATGTTAACCCTAGGAGCCTAATGTCTGATTGTTTGGCCGAATGCTGTAAGTGACTGTTTTTCATTGCCATGAAATTATTGTTTTATGCTGTTATTATCCCTATGTCATTGTCTATTGTTTGGGTTGTTATATTTCGCTTCCGCTTGCGTATTCATGTGGGTATTTCGTTTGGGTCGGCGACGCGTTTTGGGACGTCGCGTTCGATACGACCATCATAGGGGTGTCGCGAGCCCGTTAGAGTCCGGGGCATGACAGGTTTCAACTCCTACACCCTGCAAGAGGCAGAGCAAAAGTCTGAGAGTGAGTTGAGAGTTAGAGTAGAACAGACCAAAAAAAAAAAAAAGAGGAGTACATTTATACTAAATTTTTTTTGTGGCACCAAAATCTCAAACTTGTAAATGTGGTGAATCAATTCTATTGGACGAGCAAGTTCAAAGGATTTTCAAGTGTCCCCCAATTAGTCTTGATGTCTTTGGCTTCCGTGGCACACTAATCCTCGTATAATTTAATTAAAAGTCCCTTTTCTATTGACGTAATGCTATAGTTAAATGGTCGAGTGACGTTTTTATACGATGCTCGTCTAGCGTGTACCTAACACGATGGATCCTTGGAATTTCTGCACAGTGCTCAGCAGGATCCTCGAGCGCTAATGGAGGCATTGCCAAATTTTGCTGTGGGGACAAATTGGGGTTGTTAAAAAAAAGCCAATACATCATTTACCCGATCCATTTCATCGTAGATACCATATAAAGCGTCGTATCGCACAAGCCATCGACCATTCGACGGAGATCATGAATGATCAGCACGGTACGGCGTTTTACTACAGAATTACGATTAAAGGAACTTTAATACGATATGTTAAGGAGATGAGTCTCTCTAGAGGGAAGATAAATGAGTTTGTGATTAATCTCAGGAGGAAACCCAAAAGGGTAATCTCTTTCTCCGTGCAACCGTCGATTCTCGATAATTGAATTTTCACAATAATCGAATGGTATTCTGAGATATATACGTTTGGCTGGTTTCTTGTAATTACTTTTTTCTTCTTTTCTTTTTAACCCCCTCTCTCTTCCGTTTTTCGCTTCGGATACCAACCATGAAATAGTCATGAATCAACTACACGACCATGCGAAAAGGCAAGTAGAAAAACACCGGCAAGATTACCGGCCAGTCGATCCAGGTAATGTAGTTTTTTGGTGGATGCCCTCTGTCGGATCTCTAGGGGAAACGACCAACGGCACCCCCCAAGCAGAGCATTGTACTGTTTACTGCACCAAGAGCTTGTGATCAAAGTGATGTATTCAATAGCTCGGCAACATTTTGGTGGAAATTTAAAGTACTTCGGCGACGGCGAGACAAAAGAATGCGTGAACCACGGAGGAAGACGAATGAATGATGCCGCTTAAGCTTCGACATGGCCCGCGCTGGTAAAAGAACAGGAATAGCCCGCTGATTGATTTTCTGCATGAATGGTGTACAAGAATAAAGTGCTTCACAAATATGGCTGTTCATTCTGTTTCTCATAGATTTTAATTGCAATAACTCCCCAAGCCATCCTCACTAATCCAGAAATGATCATAAGTGGGAAAGAGAGAGCACACGCCCTGCTCTCGGCCTCTAAAGTCTGAGATGCTCTACTAAATTAGAAAACACAGAACTTAAATTAGGGCGTGTTGCAGCAGAGGCGCTGCCTAGGCTGCAATCTCCAATGGAAGTCACTCTCATTCTTCCTCCAACTGTGGAATCTAGAAACAAAGTTCCCCTCTCTCATACCAGGCACTCCGTTTGGTTTCCGACGCTGCTCCCAGCTATAAGCTGAGAACCAAATGGAAGAAACACCAATGCATAGGAACATACTTTAACTACAACAACAACAAACTTTGACAGCAAACATACAATTATGAAACTAGGCCAGCACAAGCTGTTCTGAGTCTGCTGACTGCACTCCTACATAAGTATGTACAACATTAATGGACACAACTTTTCCTATAAAAATTTTGCTTCTTCGCACTGATAGCCTTATCACTGCCTTAGAGTCAATGTGTTTTTGAGAAGCTAAATAATTACCTACCAGGATGTCAATAGAATTGCTGTCGTCATTGAATAATTGGCATTGACATCAGTTAGCAGTTCAGGTGTGCACCCTGGAAACCCACACCCGTGAAGCATAAGTAGATGAAAAATGTTAAGGTAGATTCCTCGGGAAAGCATATGAAACTAGGAGGGACAATCATATCTGCTGTTAACAGGATTTGTTAAAATTGTGAAGAGTGCCGTAGTCATCTCTAAAGCAGCTCCACCAATACAATTGCCAATGATATTCCCTGTGTCAGTCCACTAGTCTACTTTCACATGATGATGTCCACGTCGAAGGAGAATAAAGCCCAGAGATGCCACCATCCCAACGAGGTACCCTATGATGGCTCCGTAACTCACACAGATCGGCCACTCCTGTTAAAGAGAAGGACATGAACAGCACCTTATAGCTGCTTGATGTGGGGAATATAAAGAGATGCAATATGCTCCACTGAAGAAATTAAAGAGAGAAACCGATATTTAAGAAGCAACTTTTATATAAACACCAAACAGGGTGAATTTCATGCCGACTTTCAGAAGATGCAGTTCTTGGTATGTATAAATAGAAGCTAGATCAGATGAACTTAGAATCCTTCCTTTCCTATAAGAAATCAACAACTATTTCACTTCAAAAGAAAAGAGTCATAACTACTACACTACTTTCTTTTCTTTTTTCACTTATTTTAATCATCTTGCTGATAGGTCTCCAGAACCAGACATCCAAGATCTACAAATTAGCAGAAAACCTTTCAGCTTGAAATAAATCTAGACATCAAGTAACAAACTTAAACCATTAACTCATTTCCTCAGCTCAAAAAGAAAAGTCACACACAGTGCTGGAGAGGAAACATAGCTAAGGTAATAAGAAATCAGTGGTCCTACATAACATTCTAAAGTTCCAAACAAATTATCAGTAGCTTTGCATCAATTCCTTCATGCAAGAGTGCAATACAAAGTCAAGTAAGTCGTATCCCACTAAGGAAGAATCCATTCCAACTAAGAAAAACCCTCGAATCAAGGTAATTGCAAAGACCAAAGAGAGCAATATCTGGGTAGTGAATTACCATAAACAGAAACAACTGGAGTAACAGCAAAATTTCCAGATTTACCTACACACCATCCACATCAAACAATGACGAGCTTGTAGTAAGGAGAAAGTACCTGCCATGGCCTTTCCCAATCAAGCGGCATAGGCCATGCACCAAACCAAGCTCCAATAATTGCACCATGAGCAGGCAGACAAATCATGAAATCCACAGAACTGATTGGTCTACACGTTCAAACAAAAGTTAGGCCCAATGTTGAAGAGTCAAGGCTCTCACAAAAGATCCTTTAACAGTGAAAATATGAAAAAAAGGGACTGCGCCGCAGATGTGACAGGATTTTAGGAAACAAAATACTAGGGAGTTAATTACTTTGTAAATGCGAAGATACGTTGCCAACTGTTCCATGAGGCACCGAAAACACAAGCGGCCGGCACAAACTGCCAAAGGATGAAGAATTAGTTTTTAGAAAGACTAAGCAAGCTGATGCAACATGTACAAATAGCAAGACTCCAATTACATGTTTTCCAGACTAAAAGGTGACTGATCGGAGTGAATTGACCGTAGCTAGTAATGCTTTCCTCAATAGCCAATAATACTTTTCTCTATGCTCGGGTCAGCTATTAACGGCAAAAATAGGTCAGAAAATAACAATGGAGGCCCAATAATGAGCTGATTCAACAGATAACATGCCAAAAACACAGCACTGAGGGAAGCCTGCAAGAAGAAACACATAGCCAGATTTCCAAGGGAATCAAAGGTGATGAAAAAACTTACGGTCAAGGTCGACATCACGAGGGACCAGTTAACGGTCTTCACCAAGTACCTGTGGAAGAGTAGAACAAGAACCGTCATCGAAACATTCGGCACGAAATCAACAGTTCAAGTGAATTCCCAGTAACATTACATCCAATCCGCTAAACAAACTTATATAGATTCTTGTAAGAACGCAATGAGCCAAAACATAACATCCAAAAAGCTACTCACTGTATCCCAACAGGCGCACCCAATGCAATAGCTCCCAAATCATTAACAAGAGCCCCTGCAAATCCAAAAGGGTATATCCTCAAACGCCGCATAACTTGGGAAATTCAAAACAGGAATGCTAGAAAACGAAAACAGACCGGCTGGCAACGCGAGCGCACCGCGAAGGACAGCTCTTACATACTGCGGAGATTTCGAAAAACATAAAAAAGTGGCTCAGACACGAACTCAAAACGAAGCGAATTCCAAGTTATCAATGAAGGAAGGAAGGAAGAAGAAACAAACGCTACCGAGGTTTGCGCGGGCCTCTCCCTGACAAGACCGTAGAGAAGGAACGCGATCGGACACTCGATGACCTTAAAACCAACAACACCTCACAAAGAATCAGCCGAGAAAAGCCCCGGAAGGCGAGACGGCGAGAGGAGGGGGAGGGGCGACGAAAGTGAGTACCCAAACGAGACGGAGAGCTCGAGAAGGATCGGAGACGAGATTGGCGGATTCGACGCCGCGGGTGGCGATCCACAGCAGCGGCGCCGCCGCCGCCAAGCTCAGCCCGCACGCCAGGTGGAGCGAGAGAGCGTGAAGCGTGGCGAGTTCTCCGGTCACGGAAGCCTCGCCGGAGGCCTTCGGCGGCGGCCTCCGCTTCTTCCTCTTCGTCTCCTCCATGCTCGACGACGGTGGCTCGTCGGACTCGTCGTTTGAAAAGAAGAGACGGGCTGAACCGAAACAGAGTTTCCAGGTCGAATTCTGTCCCCGGGTCGGATCGACCGATGTGCAAGTTTTCTTTGTTTTTTTACCAATGGAATTGATAATCGAGAATTCATTTATTATATGTATTATTTTCATTGATATATATTTTTGACAAACTGCTTCTATGAACTTGGCAAATACTCTCTCTACATAGTCCAAAATGGCAAAAGCATGTAACTTCTCTAGAACATTTTTTTTTTCTGATTTGGAGGCTTGAAATTGCTCTTGAATTTAAATCAAATTGATTTAGAGCTCAGCTTTTTTGTTTTCAAGTGCGTGCAGTGTTATTAACTCCGTTATGTAGCGTAAACTTCTTCTACAAAATGGGTTTTCCAGACTCGATAATTTTATTGAATTCCAATCTATTCATGCTGCACTTAGGTCCTTCCAATCATCCTGATGTACTCATGTCATCTAAATTGTTCTCCTTCTATTTGGTCCATGCAAGTACCTTATTGATTACACATCCCTTGCTTGTTCACTGAAATCCAAAGGTCCTTTCAACTTCAACAGTATTTTGTCTCTATTTGCAAATAAAGAAAACTCTCTCCATTAGCACATACGTCCTGTTTTAACTTCATCTACGTATAAACTTGTATATGTGGATTATCTCTCATATGCGCACTTGAATACACACGTTATGTGGTTCAACCGCGTGCACTCGTCAGTCTGGTTCGATTTCTTGTTGAAGTATAAAAAACACTGCCTCAGACTATTGACTCTTCCTTTTATTTTCCAAGGAACATGATATGATTTTGCCATTGCAGCATAGGGCCATTCACTTCTCGACTCCAGTGAGGTCATGCATGATCACAATTTGTATTTTCTTCTTAATTTTTGGGGATGCTCCTTTAAACATAAGATAACAAGAGAATCTCACATAGGATATGAATGAGAGGAGTTTAAGGTGACATTCCCCTAGTGGATGTGACTGAGTGGAGGATCCCACAAGGCCAATAATTTCTAATGCTTGTTGAGCACACAGAATCTGCAATTTTGCTGCTCCCGAAGCCACCGTCGTAACATAAGACTGCCAAATTGAGCATTCACGGTGCTCTGCTGTATCCTCAAACAGAGGAACATAATGGAACAAGAATGGGCATGGGTGAAGAGCCAAGTCAAGTAGATCCAGGAACAACATGGCTAAGCTCTGGCATGAGAAGATACAAGAATCTGGCCTGCACTGGATCATACGTTTTTCTGCACGTACTTACTGCTGCTGTACCTTGAATAGCGCCTAATCAACTATTAACCAGTTCAAGTTCACACTGAGATTAGCCGAGTGAATAGAAAGTACGAATAATTAAGTGAACTTGTTCTGTGGAGCTTCGGAATCCTTCTACATGGTGGTGGCCCCATTTAGTGCAGTGCAGGGCCGCTGAGGTGACTATGCTGGGGAGCATATTGATGTACCGCCGTGCCAAGTGTAGGAGGGTAAGCTCCAATTTGGAACCATCTACATCGGATCCCACGCGGAAGCAGCCTTACATATTGTGAAACGATGCTGGTGTAGTTTGGACGTGGTTTCTTTGTCTTGGGAGGATAGTTTGTCTAAGGGTTGAACTGGCGATCACTGGCCAGGCTGTTCAAGAACACCATCATTAAATGGATTATTCTCTCTGTCTGTGACAAAACTATTGATGTTGCTAGGGCTCTTCTATATATTTTCAAGCAATAATCAGTATAGCAACTGAACAGGGTTCTTTGACATCTACTTATGGGCGACATGGTCGATATAGGTCGATTTCATACTTGTCTCCCTGGGCAGCTGAACAGGTTGCTAGGATTGCATGAACTATAATCCGTCACTCTCTTTGTAGCTCTTTGGAGAATGGCGGAGACTACTTCGATATGAATTATGAAAGCATGGACATTGCCAATATGCCATATCAGACTTCACTTGCAATCCTATTGAATTGAATGATTCTTAGCTACCTAGACATGCAGATTCCACGCGACCAAGCGTCTACTGTGCTGGAAAAATAATCATAAGGGAACTCCAGATGATTGGATAGACAAATCAAGTCTGCATAGGTTACTTTAATTTAACTGACAGCTTGTGTGGAACCTCAAAAATCCACAGACCTCTTTAAGACTAATGCCGAGGCACCTGGATTGGTAATGTATTCTAAGATTCTGGAACACTTGTCATCAGATAAAAGTTTCAGTTAATATTTTGAGCACGTCTGGGAGTATGAAACAGTGAGATGCAGAGTCAGCAGGCTGTAATCCCACTAAAGCACCATCTGCAGATGAGAGATGATTACAAGCTCATTAACAGCATCGCCAACAAGAGATTCGTGGAGCTTGCCTTCTTGATATTTGACTGGCCACACTCCCCCAACAAATCAATCAACTCGATCCAGTGAACATGGAGACAACTTGCAGCCATCGACATTGATAAGAATGTCAAAAAAGCAGAAATGTCAAAGCTGCATATCTCCGTTTGGGCGGATGTGTGAGTGATTAAAACATCACGAAATCAAAATAGAGGTTTCTTCTATGATGGAAAAAGTAACATCCACCAAAGACGAGCCCATTTTCTGTTCCATGCATAGTCTGAATGCAGTTGTGGAGTTGAGTTGAGAATCTAGTCATCACTAGGAGAAGGGAGAGGTTGCCTTTTTAGTCCTTCCGGGCCATCGATTTCGTTGTTGAAACTTCTTCATAGAAAGATCTCCTTCCACCTCCCCTCCATCCATCCATCTCATGTTTTCGCTAGCATCCACTCTCCTATTTACTCATTCTTCTCTGCTCATCCACGCAGCTGAAACCCCGCCCCGCGTGCCAGTACAGATTTTCTCATTGTGCCGATTTATTCTGCCTCTGCTGAATCACTCTTGCCGTAGCAAGGTGTGATTTGCGAAATTGAAGGAACCAAAAAATGTTACTTATTAGCTGCATATTTCTTGCACTAGCGCAGCACTGGCTTCTTGTTGCCGGTCAAGCTCAAGCTGCTCTAAGTCCCCCGAGTCACTCTCGTCCGCCTCCCCACCACTCGCTGCTTGGAGACAGGGCCGCTCTTCTGGAATTCAAGAAGACGATCAGATCCGACCCAAACTCCACGCTTGGTAACTGGAACGCAACAGTTGATGTCTGCAGCTTCACTGGAGTCATCTGCGATGCACAGGGTCACCGGGTGGCGTATCTCATCTTAGAAGGCCAAGGCCTAGCGGGGCGGCTCTCGCCTTTTCTATCGAATCTTACGGGCCTTCGGAACTTGAGCCTTGCAAGCAATCACTTTTTCGGGACGATTCCTCCCGAGCTTTCGTCCCTTCGACGCCTTTGCGTGCTCCTGCTCCAAGGAAACAATCTAGGGGGTCCTGTACCGCATTCATTTGCTTTTTTAACCAATCTTCGTACGCTTTTTCTATGGGATAACAAGTTGACAGGTACACTTCCAGTCTCTCTCTTTGCTAACTGCACCAAATTAGATAATATAGACCTCTCAACGAACTCCCTCTATGGAGAGATCCCACTAGAGATTGGAAATTGTCGTAATCTCTATAGCCTTAGTCTGTACAACAATCAATTCACGGGCCATTTACCCATCTCTCTAAGAAATGCTTCGCAAATGTTCAACATCGATGTAGAAAGTAACAATCTTGAAGGCCCGCTCCCTTCAGATATTGTGGAGAGGCTTCCTTTACTCAAGTATCTTCATCTTTCATACAATAAAATGCAAAGTCACGAAGACAACACCAATCTTGACATTTTCTTCACATCCTTAGCAAACTGCACCCATCTGCTCGACATTGAACTGGAAAGCATGGACCTAGGAGGGAGCTTGACAAATTCCGTTGGCCAACTTAGTGTTACCTTAAAAAACTTGTTACTTGAAGAGAATCAAATTTTTGGACCAATTCCCCCGGCCGTGGGCAGATTTTCCGACCTTTTATTGTTGAACCTATCTTCGAATCTCCTCAACGGATCGATCCCGGAAGAGATTAAGGGGTTGTTGAGTCTGGATCGGCTCTACTTCTCTCGCAACTCGTTCAGAGGCAAAATTCCGACCGTATTAAGCCAGCTTCCGCGTTTGGGTCTTCTTGATCTGTCTTATAACGAATTCTTTGGGGAAATCCCGGCAAGTCTGGCGAATATGGTTGAAATGAGGTCACTTTTTCTCAACAACAATCTCCTTTCAGGAAATATACCGCCGTCACTGGGAAGATTGTCCCAATTGTTCCAGCTAGATTTGTCGCATAATCAACTATCGGGAAGAATTCCGCCAGAGCTGTTACTGGGCATTAATGAGATCAGAATGTATTTAGGTCTGTCTCACAACAATCTTGAAGGCCCTCTACCAATTGAGCTCAGCAAGCTGGAAAAGTTACAAGTCATGGACCTCTCCTCGAACAACTTCAGCGGAAGTATCTTCTTTCAGATATTGAGCTGCATTGAACTGAAAGCGATAAATTTTTCAAACAACTCACTCGTAGGGCGCCTTCCAGATTCCTTGGGCGATCTGAAGAACCTCGAGTCCTTCGACGTTTCTTGGAACCGGCTCTCCGGACCCATCACTGCAAGCCTGAACAAGATCGAGACTCTGAGATTTCTTAATCTCTCATACAACAACTTCCAAGGCATGATCCCATCAGGAGGCATTTTCAAATCTGTCACTTCTCTGTCGTTCTTGGGGAATGAGCGCCTGTGCGGCACGATTCCAGGCATACCTGCTTGCTCTGGAAAGAAAACTTGGTTCCGGTCAAGCACTTTCTTGATCATTTTCATCGTGGTCATATTTGCATCATCATGCCTGTCGACTATTTGCTGCGTGATTGGATGCCGGCGCTTCAAGATCATAACTTCTTCTGGGAAGACTGAACCAATAAGCATGCCAAAGACACCAGGTCCGGTGTGCAATTTTCCAAGAATCACGTACAAAGAACTGGCAGATGCCACTGGTGGATTTGATGACCAGAGCCTGGTCGGATCGGGCAGTTATGGACGTGT